TTTGAAGGAGTGATTTGTGGACCGTAGCCTTCATCTCCCCTACCACATGCTTGAGCAGAACTAGTAGGGCTGGTGGAGGGTAATCCTAAGCTGGGACGGTTAGCATCTCTTTCTGGGGAAGTATCTGCCATGGCTGAATCAGTTATAGAATAGAAGTGATCCGGAATAGCATTAGGATCAACAGGATATATCCCTGTTGCCTTGAAACCGTTAATGGCTGTGGCCACAGATGCTGATCTTAACCAACTTTTTCCAATTAATGCACCGGCTTGATATCTCGTCAAGTTTCTGCTGGCGTTGTGTTTCATCCATAACTGAGCTTCCTGGTTAAAATAAGTTTTAAAAGGCTTAAAAAATCTCCGGTCTAGTGGCTGAAGAGCTTGGGTACAGTGGCTTGGTAAACACAAGATAATTATATCGTTATCGTCAGCCACTTGCAGCATATCGCCGTCAGTACTGTGTGAAGTGTGGCCAACCAGGATTAATAAACACTTACCGGATGGCTTATTGGGGATAAACTGCTCCTTTAACCATTTGAGAAATAATTCCGAATTTATGAAGGATGACTTTCTATTCATATAAATTTTGGATCCAGCTGGCAATCCATCCGAAAATTCAGCCTTTCGGTTTACACCTTTGAAAATTAACGTGGGTGGAATGAACCTGCCGTCTGCACTACAGCATGCAACAACCGTTACATTTTCTCCTCGCTCTTTAGATGTTAAAACGTGGACATCTCTTGCACCTTTCGTTGTTAGTACTTTCCCAGGTTTGTTGATCATTTGAATTCCTGTCTCGTCCATATTGAAAATATGAGATGGCTTATCCAATAAATTATTTTCAGTTAGGATATCAATCAAAAGTTGAAAAAATTGGGAAGTTTATTCTCTATTCATTCCTCGAGCTCTTAATAATGACAGTCCTTCAGCTTGCCTTATTGTCAATTCGGGATTTCTTTCTAAAAATGATGACAGCCAAGAATAACCAGCCATCCCGCTGTTGTGTGAAAATTTGTGTTTCAATTTCAGCTTCTCAGCAAAATTATAAGCCAGCCGTCGAACTGTATTTCTATCAGGAGCAAATCCAGCCGCTGCCAATCGTTGGATGTGAACAACCAACCGTTTTTCATTTTTATGCCCTAGAACACCTTTAAAATAAATTATGCGGTAATGCTGAAGCAAAGTCTAAAAAATCACTTTACCTTCTGGTCCGAGACTCCCTTTCTGAAGATTACCACTGGCCATTCTACGTTTAAGGGTCTTTGGTGGGACATGATAACGCCTATGGGCTTCTCTTTTGGATATCTCACCCGAACTAACTTTATTAATGGCTTCTTGCAATTGTTCTTCGGTCCACAAAGCCCTAGGGCGTGCATTTGCCTTCCTCTGATATTTCCGTGGCATTTTTCTAATCAAAATGTAACTTTAATTTGATAAAATCCATGACAAAACGATAACTTTGAAAAAATAATTTGCGGCATCTCTCCTTCCTTAAAATGCGGCAACTGTCCTTTTTGTTGGGAGAGATGCCGCGCCCGCTTATCAAAATCACGCATTTACAACGCGACAAAATATAACATGGCATGTGTGGACATAACCTCAAAATACTGGAAAAAGCTTACGATTATCAAATAAAACTACCACCGTGCAAAAAACCACACTTTCTAGGATACAGGCTAAAATTTTGCAAAGAAAATTCGATCTTATCTTCCTAAATTCGAGGATAGCATGCAATATTCCAAAAAACAAACACGTTCGACGTCGTAACCGTTCACTAAACGATCGACTTTCATCATGGGTACACTCGGTTGCCTACTCTATGGCATTAGCGTTGAAATACGACAAAAGCGGCGTCTCTCCCGCCGCGGCAACTCTCCCGCATTTAGCTTATATATACAGACATAATCCTACCGTTGTGGTTTATGAACATAATAGCTTTCTGTCCTGCAGTCTACCCGCGCAACGTCACTAATAAAGTAACCAAATTCTGCAAGTAAGCTGTCAATTCACTAATGTCATCAAGAATATAAAACATGATCGGCAGTTCATATCATTACCTGAAAGCAATGTTTTGTGCTAGTAACAGCTTCAAGCACACTAATTCGCGGGTAACGGCTAAGGAAAGTACAATGTTTGCATTGCTCGACGGTCGCAGGTTGAGTGGAGCGATGGCAGGCCACAGGTGTTATCGGCATGATGCTGATTGTGTATATTTTGCTACTTGTCGCGACAGTTGATTGTAAAATCGTTGATGAGGTCGCAGATATAATCATACGTATAACTGTCTCCGAGTACCAATTACTGAGTATTGTGATTCAGACCTTATGCTGACAGACTATATACACAGTCACATTTATACAGGGTGTCAGCAAAGTTGGGGTTTTTCTTTTCAGACACAACTACCCTTGATATAACAAGGCTAATGTGTGGTGAAAGGTGAGCGAACAAGTAAAAAAAAAATTTAAAAGTACTCACTGTTCAGTTGAATTGAAAATCCAAGTACGGCTCTGTCGGAAAATCGGTATTTACATCGTAGTCGTAGTCGTACGTCGTATAATTGTACGCTGGCGCTTGCGCTGTGGACGTGATCGAGGGATAGGACAGGACCGGCTTCGGTTTGGTTCAGGTTTGATTGAGCTCGCGGAGCCCAATGTCTGGATTCTCTTAGGACATTGGTGTATATGATACTAAGAAAATCCGCTTATTTACTCAAGATCTACATGTCTTGTAGTGAGTTTGCGATATAGCAGATAAATGTTCCTCACCTGCCTAGCAACCTGGAAGGTTGTATGACTAATAACCGAATTACTTTTTATTCACAGTATTATATTTGAATTAAAACAAAACGCCAAACTGATGTAAAGAATATGATAACGCTAAGAAAACGAATGTCGAAATCCTCTATTTATAAACCCTCACCTATTTCGATGGGACTAACGACTGAACGCTTTCGCGCTAAGCACCTCATGTCAAATTCCACTGAGCCGCTTTCTCTGTAATTTTGATCCATCCGTTCAGCCACTTTAGCGTGATTGAGGTACGAACTTTCTCACTCTTAATATTAGTGCGAATTCAAATAGATGCAATAGTAGTTACTTTGGTAAAAGATATTTTTTATTCAACATGACAATGGAACAATATATACTCGTAAATATGAATGTCTCTTCAGTCTGTCAGCATCGTGTCTGGAACACAATACGAAAAGACTCAAAAATTTGTAGACTTATTAATGTATACGCGACGAAGGTTATTACAATGGTTTTATCTTTGACTCATCGTCATGGAATTTGCCTATATGTGTCTATGAAAAACTCGAACACCCCGAAGAGTTGGCAACCACGCATTTCTTGTAAAAAACTTTCTGAAAAATGATTTAGGATAACAAAAGTTATTTATAATACAAGGGAAAAAAGTGAAACTAAAATCCAGTATTTTTCCCATGTAGAATACACAATTTTTTTCTGTGACGGGAAAGACGACGATTTAATATTGAAAAATTACAATATATAAGTCAGAAAATTATCGATGTGAAATTTGCATTTTGAAATAAGTAGGCTATGTTGTACTTATAGCGAAAATTAGACCTGCGTTGCTAAGGAAACTTTTAACGTAATCAAATAGCTGACAATTTAATTTTGTGATTTGATTTAAAAATTGTGAACTTAGTGGTTGTTCATTACTATAAAGTAAAATATGTCTGTTTCCGAGTTTTCTTTGAAGCCACCAGAACTAGTAGAAGTAGCCAACGTACCGTCACAAAAATTATAGCCAGCTAAATCGCGGAAAATTTACGAAACGGCGAATTCAAGATTCATGGAATGGAAGATGAAAAAAGACGATGTTATTGGCTTATTTTTCAGAATAGGAACAACAACAAGAGCCATCAGTATCCAGGAAAAAAGTGCTCATTTTTTTCCGGGAAAACAGTAATTTTATAAAAGGTGACATTTTGTTACCTGTCAACATAGATAAAATGTCAAACTTTTCTCCCGTCACAGAAAAGTAATTTGTCGATGACCTCAGTATCATATTTAAACGAGATGACACTATCACTAACTATGGTCAAAGGAAGTCTTCCTATAACTTTCTTTCATATCACTCACTAACAATTATATTATTATCTTTTACTAAATATACTAACTGTCCATAGCATATGTATGACGTAATCCGATATACGAGTACTATTGTACTTAAACAAATTTTGGCGGGAGTGCAACCTATTTACCATCAATAACGATTATGATAAATTAATGTCTGAAAACTTTTCTTTCTCAGGAACTATAAACATTACTTTGTCCGCATCACCAGGAGGAATATCTTCCTATTTATTAAATTACATAAAGTCAGAAGGCAAGGACTTTTCTTTATTCAGTAGTCTATGTAATAACATTGAATCATCGTTAACGCTTTTCATGAATATATTATGATAAATATCAAATAATGAATCTCATTAATGGTTAACGTGGTGTCATCGATGTATAATTACTTAAAGTACTATAAGACTTCCGTAATACTCACATTCAATTTGGAGGTTCACCGAAATCGAATCATGTAACTATGAATAATAGAATGTTTGGGGCTTAGAAACATTAAATGGTTAATGGTCAAAAAATAAGAACTCTCGTTAGATGAATAAACAAGTATACAGACTAAACTAGAGAATAATAATATAATTTGGGTTAGTAAAAGTCTAGCCTTTGAACTCTCATTAAATAAGTAACGAAGTATACAAACTAAATGGAAGAATAATAATATAATTCGTGTTTGTATAAGTCTAGCCTTTGTTACAAGATACAATACCTCTTCTGAAAAACCCTAAGGGGACTGCCCTCACAGCAGGAATGCCTCCACGTGTCAGCCCAACTAGTTTTATTATCCCCACGTCAACTGTAAAGCCTTACAGGGTGCTCACTCGAGGCAATATCTCGATTCTCTTAGTCATTTGATGTATTTTTTTCATACTCCAACCACCACGAAGGCATATGGCCTAAATACCCATGGGGTACCGTGGGGCTATAAGGAGTATACAGGGAAAAGGGGGAACGCCACACGGACTCTGGCGAGGGAACACGTGTGCATGCAACATGCACACATTCTGGCCCCGCCTACGAAATCCGCCGGGTGGTACCTCCGCGTGTGACAGTCAGAGACCGACTACCACCTACGGACAATCACAACATCCATAGCCAAGGGAAAAATTTCTCTTTGGACGGGATTCGAAACCGCACAGCGCACGGCGACTGATCTACTACTGCGGCCACCGCTGCTGCCTAATGTCTGATAAAGAGAAATTTATTTATTTTTTCAACAACTATATGCCATGTAAAGGAAAGTTCCAGTTTTAAAGACACCCAATATATAAATTGACCTCTATTTTTCAAAGCAACTACTATGGCGCACCCAAACTTGGCCACCTTTTACTTCACACACTTCGTGCCTACATGTTTTTGGGGGAGTTCAGTAAATGCTTCAACTGTAACCGGCCTCGATGCGTGGAGGTTTACATCACAGCCTTGAAAATGTTGTCATCACCGTATGAGCTCCTTTGGAACTTTTGGAAAGTGGCTGAAAACAATGGTGCTCAATCACACAATTTATGAGTGAAGGTGTTTGCAAGAGCAAGTAGCAGCTGCGTTAAGACTCGTACCCTGCAATGCCTTTGGTAAGTTAATCTCCGCACATGGTACAGGTAACAAGTCTGATTACTTAATTCGCATGGCAGCATAATCGACAAAACCATGAGGGAAACTATATGACATTACAAAATACGACAGCACAAAGTGCCATCTGTTACCAGAAGGGACCAGTGCAGGAGTGAACATCATTGGAACTGCAAATAATCTCAGTTCGCGTCGACAGCCGTGTCTTTACTGTGACCGCTTGATGTTGTCGATTCAATTATCTATGTAACTATAATTAGTTATATGGAACTACGAGTATTATAGTACTATCCTGTGATAGTCGAGAGCAGTTAACGTAAGAACAAAGTGCACTACAAGCAAAGGGGCTGCTGATCCACTTCGAAATATGCTTCGTGTTATAGAATTCCAGACGATGCCAAAATATTCAGAAAATTCAGGCATAATTTCATTTCATGACTTGATTAAGCTTTGAACTACCAACCCATCTCACGACATTTAAATTCATTGAATCTAGCCTGTATTTAGCCTGAGTCTAGTTCTTGCAACTTTTACAGAGCTGCTCGCATGGTGGGCACTTGGTGTCCGCCTGAGTGACGAGATGCTTATGCGGTGGGCGTCACTTGCTCGTCACATCGAAGCGACCTGACACTCGAAGATCCCGGTAAATGGATGCGGTTGTCTGCTATCGATGTAGGGATTGATAGTACCTCGTGCCGCAGTGCCACATCTTTGTGTACTGCTTTCTGAGCCTATCAGGCCGACCTTTTTTAACTTGCATGTTTTCCGTTTTCCGACTAGGATGACTAAACCTACACCATACTAATGATTGCTTAAAATCATGAAACAACATTGTAAGTAAATGGTTGGTTGTAGTCACAGAGGTGGAGATCAAATTGATCTTATATCGTATTCAAATACATAAGGGTGACTTGATTAAGCTTTGAACAACCAACCCATCTCACGACATTTAAATTCATCGATTATAACCTGCGATTAGCCTGTGTCTAGTTCTTGCAACTTTTGCATGGTACCTCAGAGCTGCTAGTATTGTGGGCACTTGGTATCCGCCTGAGTGACGAGATGCTTATGCGGTGGGCGTCACTTGCTGGTCACATCGAAGCGACCTGACACTCGAAGATCCCGGTAAATGGATGCGGTTGTCTGCTATCGATGTAGGGATTGATAGTATCTCGTGCCGCAGTGCCACATCTTTGTGTACTGCTTTCTGAGCCTATCAGGCCGATCTTTTTTAACTTGCATGTTTTCCGTTTTCTGACTAGGATGAGTAAACCTACACCATACTAATGATTGCTAAAAATCATCAGCATTGTATGTAAATGGTTGGTTCTAGTCACAGAGGTGGAGATCAAATTGATCTTATACAGCCTGTATTCAAATATATAAGGGTGCTTGCGGCCTAAAGCATGAATTTAAGTAATAAGCGCGATATTTCCAAAAGAAAGTGTTGAGAAAATATTGAGAAATAGTGAGTTTATAAATAAAAAAGTAAGTTAGTTTTCTGAGAAATTAAATATCATAACGTCCGATTTAGGCGGATAATATAAACAGATCTATATATTTTACTGAATACTTGACTAACTTCCGCGATATTTAAAATAGCGTTCACTTCTGATAAATCAGAATTTTTCGGCGTCCGCCATATTGGACAGAATGATGTCGCGTTACTTATTGCGTCTCTCTCATCAGGTTCTTCTAGTTAATGACCCTATCATAAGGGTAACTATAGAAATTATAAACGCCTTCTGACGGCGGTCGCCATATTGTGTTTGAAATGACGACACTTTGCTTATTATGTTCCGTCCTCGTCGAAGTAAATATTTAAGATACATATCGTAGTAACCTCGTAGTAGTACCCAACCGCCTTTACTAGGTTTAGTAATGTCTGCATCGTCCGCTCAAGTAAAGTTACTTTCTTTCAGTCACAATTCAATACTGAGCCTGAAAGTGCTCAATTTTTTCTTAAAGTATTTCCAGACATGGTTTAATTAACTTTGTGAACACATAAGGGGTATAATTTACCCTAAGCGGTAAGCATTGTATTTGAAGAACTGTCCCTTAGATATGAATCTGAAATATATTCTATCACTCTCCCTAACGGGTACCAAAATCCCTGCATATTCCAAATCCAGGTTTGCTATGATACTATCTCTACGGTGAAGTCTGATCCCAGTTCAATAGCCCTATAAACAAAGAGTCTTGAGGTAAGGAATCAAACGTGTTGACTCGTCAGGCTTGGGGGCAAGAAAAAGTTTGATAGGTGCTGATTTTTGGTTAGCTCAACTTTTTCACTGATAGCACCGCGGCTAAGCAATTCATAGATGGATTAATGAGATTTAGCTATGATAAAGTGCTAATCCAGTCGCCATCTGAATGGCAAGTGACCACTTGAGTCCAACTCAGAACTTTAGCGTCACTCCTAAAGCTCTGCCATTGATGATGAATACGCGTTAATGTTCATGCTGATCCACACACCTCATCTGCAATAGTGGGTTGATGTTGTTAGTACGTCGTCTGGCCTTTTGGACTTCAGTTGCTGGTCTGTTTATCTGATTTCTATTTAGAATTGACTTACTTGGTCAGACCTACGCCGAAGAGCAAGATATCACTGGAAACCCCTGTCAGAGTACTCCTGCTGTTCGAGTGCCACCTATGCAAAATGTAACGTTAATTGGGCATAATGATATTTAACTTCCGTTATTACTGAATATTAGAACTTTGGTGCTTTCCTAACCGGGGATGTTCATACGTACAGTCCTGTTCCATAGACGTTCCTAATTTCTATATGTTGTTAATGAGAAATAGTACGTCAGCTGTTTCGTAATCTGTCATGCGCATTCTGACAAAGATATTCCAAGGTTATCACAAACCAAATAAAATTTGCTCACAGGCTAAATGTAACGCTAACCTCGCATAAAGTGCCTAATCTTTATCTGATAAGAAAAAGATATACATTGGCGGTTTTCTAGCCTGACATGTTCATACTTACACACCTGTTCCACTGTTATCACAAACCACGTGGAATTTGCTATCACAAGCACAATGTAACGCTAGTCCCGCATAGATGTAGCTAATCTCTGTCGTTCATTGAAGAAAAATGGCACTTCGGCTTCTTTATAACTTCTCATGTTCATCTCCTTACAATATTGTTCCATAGTTATCACAAACCAGATGAAATTTGCTATCACAAACAAAAGAGAAAATATTGTTGAGCATACCTTGTTGCTACGTTATCCAAAACGCTTTCAGTGTTGTTATTTGTGCAACGAAGTTTAGTGTTGAGTAATTTTTCCAAACACCTTTATTCGTCCTTGGTGTGGACTATCACAAGCTGGGTCCATGTTGCTATCCCAAGCAGCCGAGTCCAATGTTACAACATTATCCCAAATGTCTTAGTTCATCCTTGGTGTGGCGCTGACTATCCCAAGCCAGGTCCACGTTGCTATCCCAAGCAACCGAGTCCAACGTTTCAGCGTTATCCCAAACGTCTTTGTTCGTCCTAGGTATGAAGTTGGCTATCACAAGCTAGGTCCAGGTTGCTATCCCAAGCAAAAGGTGTCAGAACGTTATCCCAAACGTCATCCTAGTCACAATTTGCAGCGCCGGTGAGGCATCCATACTAATATTCATTTAACTTGCACCTAAAACAGATCGGTTAGGCGACAGTTACCTGATGGTGACACCCCTTTAGAAAAAGAGGCCTACACGCCACTTTCTAATTTTGGTCGGCGACGAAAGCAATCTTCAAGCGACCGTCGGTCGGTATCTCGCTCGACAAAGCACATCTATCGGCCAATCCTCTCTCCTGCTTTCTAATTCTAAATGTTCAGCGGATCCTCGCACTGCACTGCACATGAACGACGCACGCCGATTAACGTCTTGACGGTCGGACACGAGAACAAGGAATGAAGGTTTATAGGCCGCCAGAGGGGAGAAAGGTAGAGGGAAGGGGCGGTTGGGTACTACTACGAGGTTACTACGATATGTATTCTAGATATTTACTTCGAAGAGGAGTTCACATAATTAAGATCAAACATTACTTACAGGTAAGTTCGTTTGATCATGTAATTATGGGCCTCTTATCAATCCCTTTCACCAACGGAATTATAGATTGCCTTATTGCGGCACCCGCCATATTGGATTCCGGTTTCCTTATTATGTTTCTCTCATCAAACGCGTTCATTTGATATCCATATCAGATGGGTCACTATAGAAATGATAAATCGCCATTATGTAGCTCACGCCATATTAGACTAAAAATTGCTGCAGTTAAGCCGTTATGTATTATCACGCGAACCGAATATGCGTACAAGGTTTCAGCTAAATTATTTAGGCTAATTGGATCAAAATTCAGTTCCAGGATTTTTCCCGCACATGCATAATGACAAACAAGTTACCAGCAGTAACTTTTACAAAGCTTGTAAAAAGTGCCACAGTTCATACAATTTATATTGTAATCCTCAAATTA